ACCTCGCATGGTGGAGATCAGGCTAAGGCTACCAACTATCGTGTAACAACCCCCCCAGGAAAAAAACTACATGTAACAAACACCAAATTACTCTTTTTTAAGCCCATGGGTGTTGTCGTCATTGACCCAATCTCCTCCTCCTTTAATATCCTCACCTTCCTAATCTGACCCGCTCTCCCTCGTTTCATCTCCCACATTGCCAGCCGCTTCTCTCTCGTTTCCTCTTCCACCCGATCCGCCGCCATGAGCATGGCCTCCGCCTTCGGTTATGACCCTCGTCCACCCATCTCCCAAGATACAACACGTCCATGTCCTCCACATCCACGGCCATCGGGAGGAAGCCGAGCAGGAGATGTACGGGCTAACCCTAGACCGGCCTTCCACGCATTGTTGGGGTGAGGAGGATAGAGAGGCGGCGGGGGCAGGGACCGATTTGTTCTTCCCGTGGGAGTAGGATCTGAGCAGGGAGGAGGAGGCGCATGCGTCGCCACAACACCAAGGAACACCTGACCGTGAAGATTCTCTTATTCCTTGATGCAGATTTATTTGTGAAAGAAGAGAATTAGCGGAGTGGTCGAGCAAGCTCTTCCTGACATGTTTTTCTTAGATGACCTTTCTCCAATTAAGGTATTTTAGGAAGATACTAATCGCTTAAGTTGTTTTGTACAGAGAAGATGATTTTGCATAGGTCTAGTTGTTCTTGAATCAGTTCCAATAAGTATAATGTTGATTTGGTTTCTTTTTATTTCTACAGGTTTGAATACTACGGTCAGAAAAATCCGTTTGAGATCACAGTTTTTGCTGGTCTCGAAAAATGTATTAAGTTCATTCTGAACTTTAAGTTCAGAGAAGATGGTATTTGTCTTCTGCAGCAATCATGCCAATGCGTGAGGTATGATTTAGCCTGTATAATAATTAGTCAATAGATTATATTTATTTGTACATGGAAATTGATTGTTCATACGTGAGGATTTTGTAAAAGAGAACAAGCAGTTTGATTCCTGTCCCAAACTGGCCGAAGCAACACGCAGTACCAAAGCTAGTATCTAGATAATTCATTCAAGCCTCAAGCAACACACACGTACACAGCACCTAATTACTCTTTGCGTTGATCGGTCCTCACGGCTGGAAACATACTAATACACACGTATAGACAAAAAATTGGGCGTATTGCCTTGTATTGGGCCTGATTCTTTTCTTTTATTTCTCGTTGTTGTTCAATGTTTACAAAAGGGTATGCATGCGTATATATAGCAGCTAGGACTACCACAGGCTAACCTACTTGGTTACAAGTTTTAATCCTAGTATACTAGGTATTTGTTCTGCGTACAACCCAGATACAACACAACACACGCCATCATTATTTCCAACATACCCTTTGTGCACTTTAATTATCTTCAGCAAAAAATGTTTTTGGCACCACAGTGGTTTCTTGTTTTATTGTATCTTGTATTTGCAGTTGCTCCCGGCGGTCGGTGCTCCTGTCTGATTTTAATAAGAGGCACGGATGTTTGCATTTGAATTCCATTATGATCATTCATATTATATATTGATGCTCTCTAGGCCTATAACCATTAATGCCTTCTAGTTATGTTCTATTTTGTCACTCGGGGCATATGCAAGTACTTTCTTTTAGTTTTTACTTGCAACAAATATCCATTTGTAACTAAGTGGCCAGATATGACTTCGTCTTATGTCATGTACTTTGTGCCAATTTCTGACAATTCTTAGAGGTCTACCAGACTCCTCATAAAAGCCAACATGCTCAAGTAAGTTGCTCTCATATATTGATTTTATCTGCCGATATACTTTGTGCCAATTTATTTATGTGAACTGACTTTTATAACTTACTCAACATTTTGTAGGAATGATGGAGCACCTTGGTATAAAGAAGCATGAGGAGGTATTAGTCACCGATGAAGAATTATATCCATTCAAACAATGATGGCGCCCCTCGATTGAAGATTAATAAAGAATATATTTTCTAGTTTTTTCATTTCCAAATTAGATATGAGAAGTACATTGGTCATGTAAGGAGTGTTTTTGACTCAAATGTCTTAAATGCCGTTTTAATTCCAGATTTGTATGTCGGAATTTTGTTAGTTGATCTTACTTTTATTAATAAAAGAGGCTATGACCCTTTCAATATTGAGATTCTTTTGCTTCCTAATTAATGCGGATAACATTTAAGCATTGGATGCTACTAAGGATTCTATAGGTGGTTGAATGGAAATGATATAAAATTATTAGCGATGACAAAAGTGCTCGCTAATACTATAATTGTGGTTGTTATTGCCTTAGGGATGACGACCACACACTATCCCGTCGTTATAAGAATAACGACCAGAAAATTAGTTTTAACGATGGAGCCTACTATGACCGGCATATTGTGGTCATTATTGACCTTTAACGACAACAATGCGACTTTTAACGGCCACATATACGGTCGTTAAAAACCTTTTTCCTAGTAGTGACCCGGGCTAGGGTTTGCGGCGGCGGCGGCGGCAGCGGTGGAGGGGTCGCGGCTCTAGGATGGGGTGAGCGGGGTGCCGGCGTGTGCGTCCATGAGTGCAGTTCGCCGGCGGCGGCGCGCGCGGGGCGTAGGAGGCGGAGAGGAGAGAGTGCGGCGCGAGCGCCCGAGTGTGCTGCGCGCGGAAGCGGGCGCCCCAAATACATCGCGCGAGATAGCGGATCTGACTGCGCACCCAACTCCTTATACCGCGTGTGCGGTTATTGCGCGTCCGCTGGAGCCACCCGCCGGGTTGCGCGCGCGCTAAAATGACCAAATTTACGGCGCGGCGCTTGTTTAGCGCGGCTGTTGGAGATGCTCTGAAGAAGGAAGAGAGGAAGGAGAAGAAAAGGAGCAATCATGACCGGGCTGCGCTCACGACGCCCCACTTCCCTTTTCATTCTCGCCCCGGTCTTCTGTAACAATAGATTAACGGAGAATTACAGGTGTATTTCATTCTCGCCCCGGGCTGCGCGCACGTACCATCCTGTAGGTTTTCCTATTAGCCTGTGATTTATTCATTGATGGGTTAGTTGTATTTGATGATCCGAATTACAGGTGTTTCTTTTTAAAATATAGAGATTATGTTCATTGTTATTGGGATTATTAATTTTTGTTGTTGGATTGTTATTCTCCTGGCTTGACTTAATTCTTTGGGGAACGCGAGCAAAGATAAGCCTACATCACTTGTGTGCACCACTTTTTTTATCCGGTGGCCAAAACTTACATAGGTTCGGCCTACTGGGTATGTTCACCTCAAAAAAAAAGTATGTGCAGTGAGGATCTTGGCCTAGCTGATCAAAATTCACTAAACCAAACATTTCTCTATCACAAAAGTTGATAGAAGTAGCATGGTAAACCAAACGAACAGCTTGCACCCACTTTCGATTCCAGGGCATAATCGGCAGGTTTCATTCTACTCCACATTATAAACAAATCATTTTTTTTCTTTTCCCTCAACCAAGACACGACTGGAGCCTCCTAGATACGTCATTTCTATAGATATTCAGCTCTTCCGTCCCACGAGGCCGGTGGTCCCACCCTCTTCGTATGCTACTTTGGTGGCGGGAGGTGGGGACCCCGGTTTTGTAGTGTGTTCGGCATGTAGCTAGGATTAGAGTTTGGTGTTTGTGACGACGCCATTTAGATGGACGAGGAGTTGTGGCATCGAAAAATGGTGGTGCCCCGACTTCAACCCCGTCTCGCCACTTTGAGGGGCTGATGGGTTAGTGCCCTCGTCAGGCATGTGTTGAAGTATTGTGTGGAGTTGATTTGGTCGTCCACTTGTGGTCGTGGACTTGTCTTGTGTGCAGTTAGTTTGCACAATGGGAGATCACGGGCATAGTCGCTACCTGGCCGTGATATTGGTTCCGTGACAACAACCATGAGTTTCCCTCTATTGTTCTAAGTGTGACACAATTGTTGTTCTTCTTCTTCTTGTCATCGTGCTCCTCCGACAACCAAGCAAGCGACGGCAAATTCAATTCGGACGGATTTTATTGTGGAGCTAGACATATTTCTAAGTCTCCTCCAGCATATTATGAAAAGTTGGGACAACTATCCTACGTGCGGCAGGGCATGGTGAGCGATCCTCAAATGATTCAAACTATCCTATGTGTGGGTGGTTTTTTACACCTTTTGTTAAATAATACAATTGAGATATTATCTATACCAATATAAAAATATTCAAAGGGGCAGATCCAACTAATCTCGGCCATCAAACTAAGTCAATCCAACGACCTAGACTGCTCCAATGTCGAGCGTTCAATGTGTTTAACGTGCAATTAATATCATATCAAATATTTCACTAATCACAAAATTAACACACAAGTACCTAATATGTGCGTGCAATTAATATATTGCCTAAATATTAACGTGCATTGCACGTGCGCATTTACTAGTTACACAAAAATCCCATCTTCTCCCGAACGTAGAAACAAATGGAAGTTTGTAACCAAAGAACCTTGCCGGCCAAGGAAGCTCATCTCTGGGCTGAGTCACCGGTCAACGCTCCATGATCGACATTATCCTATTCTATCAACAAGGCTACGGAAAATTCAACAAGCCATGATGCACAGACCCTACTTACTGACAAGTGGACAAGAAGTGTCCCTAGGCCCACCTGTCAATACCTGACTGCTTCGTGGTGTGCGTACGTGACATTTTTTTAAGGTTGGTGCGTGCGTCACTGCCGATGAAAGGAGAGAGAGGCCGTCGTGGTTGCAATGGGTGCAGGTGCCAGCGAACATGTGCTCGAGCTCGAATGAAGCAAAATATATATAATACTGTGATTTTTAAATTATAGAGAGCGTAGAAACCTTCCACTGGAAGTTTGCATCGAGCCACTCTTTTCCACTATAAAAATCCACTATAAAAACAGGTCGATGGGAGCATATCGTTTGCCAACATAAACACACACGGATAATTTAGCAAAGAGCAGAGTTACCTCAGAGACAAAGGAAGAAGAGAGGCGAGGTAGCTAGCTTCAGACATGGGGTTCTGCTGTGGGCCTTCGGATGTCCAGGTGCTCCCCAAGAACACGTCCTCCTCCTCTCCCTCCTCCTCCTCGTTTGTTAAAGATTCCGGTGATGGCGGCAAGAAGAAACAGCAGCAAGTTATAAAGAAGGAACAGGGGAAGGAGAAGAAGATGAGCAACCTTGACCGGGCCGCCCTCACAACACCCCGCCTCCCCTTCCATTCTCGACCCGGTCTGATGTGACAGATTAGCCGAGAACCAGTGTATTTCATAGAAATATATGATCTTGTGTGTTCTCCTATTAGCCTACGTCTGAGTCTGTAACTTAGGATGTATAGCTCCATTGTCCCGTTGAAGTTTCGAGGTTTGCAGTGTGGCCACGTGTTCTATTTATTCATTGATGGGTTGGCTGTATCAGAATATCCAAATTGCAGGTGTGTTATAATAGAGATTTTGTCCATTGTCCATCAGGACAATATATTTTTCCCTACATATTTTGTTTGTTGGATTATCATTCCCCTTGCTTGACTTAATTCACCAGCTCAAACGAGCAAAGCTTAGCTTATTTCTTCCTCCTGCTGAAGGTGGGGATGTGATCAAGAACCAGGCAAAGGCAAACAAAATGTTACATCCAAAAATAGTAGAGAAGTCAAAATGAAAACATTATACTTGGGGAAGTGCACTGATACAACCGAACAGTTCTGCTTTATTAACTTGAACATGACTAAATGAAGTAGAAACAAATATTGTGACACATATTTAGATAGGGAATGTGCACTATTTTGGGCCATATTGAACTGCAGAAATGATATGCTCTTTAGTAGAAAAAATTTCACCAACTTTTTGTAGGTTATTTACAGGGCCACTGCATGGATCCGTACGTGGTCGTTACTCACTCATGCGGACTTCGAGGAGCTTTTGCCTACTAGGTGCAACCGCAGCTGGGAGATGGTAGCACGGATTATCTTCAACCAATTTGGATGGCAAACTAATAATTAATAGGCTAGGTGTTTAGTCATTGTAGCCTATTCTTTCACCGGCTGTGGCATTTTCTATTTTATTTTGATTTGGCTACTTTTGTGAGCCAATACTGGACCTCATATTTTGTATTCTACTTTCGTTAGATAATATGGCTGCATGCATCACTTTGATGTATAGGCCGGGAGCTATCCTCCTTTTCAAAAAAAAACTTGAACATGACATGGACAAAGCCAAAAAAGGAATGGCCGACGATTTTTTTTCCTTGATTGGGGATTGATTGATGGTTAGGTGGATATCACCACTAGGAAAAACGCTACCAGTAGCGTACGTTTTTTGCATACCAGTAGCGCGGGGTACCGCGCTACTGCTACGACGCTACATCTATTTTTTAGCGGTAGCGCGTTTTTTACCCCACGCTACAGCTAAAAAGTTAGTAGTAGCGCGTGCAACCCACGCCACTACTATTCTGCACCTATGCTACTACTATCTAATTACTAGTAGCACACCATTTTGCCCCATCGCTACTGCTAATTAATTAGAAAATAAAAAAATTAAAAATTAGATGCAATATTCATGGATGGAAATCAAGACACGTCTAGTGCAAAGGTCACATAACCATCTTAGCAATTGCAACGTTCATGGATGTAACATTGAACATCTCAACTCAAAGAGATCATGAGATCCCATTTAACATCAGACGCGAATAACGAGACCACTTCTCTAGATGTATCTGCCAAAGCCTCGGAGTTCAAACTCCGATGGACCCGAACCCTCCCTCCCCCTGGAGGGTGGCGTTGGCGTCGAGGTCCTCCACCTTGGCGACCTCCAGCGTCGCAATCACCTGGACGATCATCTGCGCGACGCAGTCTCCGGGCTTCACGACGAAGTCCGCCTCTGAGGGGTTGAAGAGCACGGCACCCACCGGGATGTGGTAGTCCTGTGTTATCTCTCCGGCTTGAAGAGCGTTTCCGGTGGCGTGGAGGTAGTCTTGTGTTACCTCTCCTGCTTGGTCGACGTACCTACAAAAAGGAGAAGAAATATCAACGATCCAATCAACCGGCGGCATCAAACGATCATGACTGCGCAAAAGATTTTGGTTATGACTAGTTGTTGAACCAAAAACATTTGATGTTTTGAAAGCATGGATGCAATGCAGTGTTTGTACATTACATGTGCGTTACAACTGAAGTTGTGACAACTGATGATGTTTGCATCACGTTCTTGACCGATACCTCAACAGCATCACATACTTTACGTGAACCATTGAGCAAGTAAGGGACAACTAATAATAATATATGATGCAGCAACGGTTACGCATATCAAATCTCTTGAACTAATACAAATATAGTTCTGATCACACATTAGCTCTTAGAACTGTTTGACTTTTATTTACATTCAGGCATCTTAACCCAGTGTACTCAATAATAGCAGTACACTAAATACTTGGGATTTGCTTGTGGAGGCCCAGTAAAACATAAAATCCAAATCACAGCATATGATTTCATCTTATCTGGTGGTTTGGTAATGCGACTATTAATCTGATCCATCTTTGGATCAATAAATTCCATTTTTTCGGAACAGAATCACGAACTACCTAGACCAACTCAAAAGTTCAGAAATTATTGGCAGCTCTAAGAACTGTTTGACTTAAGTTATGGCAACTTAACCCGGTGCACTCTATAATAGTACACTTAATACCTGGGATTTGCTTGGGAAGGCCCAATTCTCAACGTAAAAAAAATGTTTGGTATTCTTCCTCAAACATGAACAAAACAAAATTGTTTGGCTGAAATAGAGTAATCACGGAGTTTGATCAGAAGTATATGAACAGTAGCACTAGTTTGTGGTGTTCACAAATGATTCATTCTGAAAATCTGTTCTCATCAGAGAAGCAAAACTTTCCCGTATACAAGAACATAAAACCATACTGAAGAGATTACTTTTTAGTGAGCATCCATATGTAGCAACTAGTCAATAAGCATTTATGCTGAAAAAGCAAGCAACCACTAGATTAAAAGAAACAGTTTAACATGAGCACACTTAGCAACCACTAACTTAACATTTTCCTCAAATACTGCATTTTATTAAATTGTTGTGGACAACCTAAAAACACATTGAGATTGTTAGCAGTGATTATAATGATTCCACCAAAAGCATTAAAACAGAGATCATGAGAAGCAGCGGATACCCAAGTTTCGAGCGCATGCATGCATTGCCAAAAGACCTTGAATGGACCTGGATCTGTCTTGAACTGATTCCCTTCAAAGGCAGCCTGCAAATAAATAATAAGCAGACCAAAATATGTTCATTTCAGACTTGGAATTCACATGATGAAACACGGAGCCAATGTCTGCCATTTGTTGGAAGAGATCCTGAACTCCACACCAGTCCAACTTATGGCAATTTATATCCTACACAAGCATTTTATTTCATGATATCTCCAAAGTGGCCAGGTCAGCTACTACCAGTTTCAGATAGTCCATTGGTCATTTCTAATTGTGTTTTGGGGATTCAACATGCCACCGCCATCACCAGCTTGAAAGCAGTAACCGCGGCAGAGGTAGGATAGGAATCATCCTGGTTACGTGTTATCGAACCACGCTGTGTACTTTGTGGCAGGCAACACTCTGTGCTTAACATTTCTGAATCACATCTAAAGAGTTGGGAGTCTGACAGTAAATTAACTAAACATTCTGATGACCCCCCCCCCTCATACTAGTACAGTACAGGAGCTAAACTAGGCATAAAACAACCAAATGCCTAATTGCAGGTGGTCACTAGTATAGTACAGGATCATCTTTGCACCAGCGATTTTATAGATATCATCTACACATACATGCCAGCTGAAGACCAGCAGTTGGTACCAATCATCGAGGGAGGGTAAGTGTCTAGGGAGGAGGAGACCTGAACTGAACGAAATATGCCCTAGAGGCAATAATAAAGTTATTATTTATTTCCTTATTTCATGATAAATGTTTATTATTCATGCTAAAATTGTGTTAACCGGAAACATAATACATGTGTTAGTACATAGACAAACAAAGTGTCACTAGTATGCCTCTACATGACTAGCTCGTTGATCAAAGATGGTTATGTTTCCTAGCCATAGACATGAGTTGTCATTTGATTAACGGGGTCACATCATTAGGAGAATGATGTGATTGACTTGACCCATTCCGTTAGCTTAGCACTTGATTGTTTAGTATGTTGCTATTGCTTTCTTCATGACTTATACATGTTCCTATGACTATGAGATTATGCAACTCCCGTTTACCGGAGGAGCACTTTGTGTGCTACCAAACGTCACAACGTAACTGGGTGATTATAAAGGTGCTCTACAGGTGTCTCCGAAGGTACTTGTTGGGTTGGCGTATTTCGAGATTAGGATTTGTCACTCCGATTGTCGGAGAGGTATCTCTGGGCCCACTCGGTAATGCACATCACTATAAGCCTTGCAAGCATTGCAACTAATGAGTTAGTTGCGGGATGATGTATTACGGAAGGAGTAAACAGACTTGCCGGTAACGAGATTGAACTAGGTATTGAGATACCAACGATCAAATCTCGGGCAAGTAACATACCGATGACAAAGCGAACAACATATGTTGTTATGCGGTCTGACCGATAAAGATCTTCGTAGAATATATGGGAGCCAATATGAGCATCCAGGTTCCGCTATTGGTTATTGACCGGAGACGTGTCTCGGTCATGTCTACATAATTCTCGAACCCGTAGGGTCCGCACACTTAAAGTTTCGATGACAGTTATATTATGAGTTTATGTGTTTTGATGTACCGAAGGTAGTTCGGAGTCCCGGATGAGATCGGGGACATGAGTCTCGAAATGGTCGAGACGTAAAGATCGATATATTGGACGACTATATTCGGACATCGGAAAGGTTCCGAGTGATTCGGGTATTTTTGGGGGTACCGGAGAGTTACGTGAATTCATATTGGGCCTTAATGGGCCATACGGGAAAGGAGAAAAAGACCTCAAAGGGTGGCCGCACACCTCCCCATGGATTGGTCCGAATTGGACTAGGGAGGTGGGCACCCCCTTCCTTCCTTCTCTTTTTTCCTTCCCTTCTCCTACTATAACAAGGACAGGAGGAATCCTACTCCCGGTAGGAGTAGGACTCCCCCCTTGGCGCGCCCTCCTTGGCCGGCCGCCTCTCCCCCCTTGCTCCTTTATATACGGGGGCAGGGGGCACCTCTAGAGACAAAACAATTAATTGTTTGATCTTTTAGCCGTGTGTGGTGCCC